GTCTGATCCCTAATTAAAAAAAAAAAAAAAAAAACATCTACAGAGAGCTGTCATTTCACCATGACTGCAGATGTTCCACATGTTGAGGAGGTTTTAGAAAACAAGCCGTTTCTCCTTTATAAATCAGTGCTATTCCCCGGACAGTGTTAGGGCTCTACGATTTCACCAAAAATCTAAATTGAGATTATTTTCAACCAATATTGTGATTTTGCTTTGCACTAACACCAACCGTGTTGATTTTTTACTCCAGGGTTTGAGTTTTTCCATCACCTTGAAAGCCTGCTTGTCCAGAATCCAGTGCTGCAGGACTTTGCTGTAACATTTGAATGAAAAACTTCCTACTTCTAATAAAATGCATAGATCTAGGTGCTAACTGCAACTCTCCATTCCCGTCTATGCCACAGCATATCCACTTTAACCGTATTACTGAGAGAAATCAAGTGTCTTACTCATTAAATGCATTGTGACAAAAAAAGCCTCTGCGATTTGAAAATTGCATATTCCTAAATTGCAATTATATTGCAAATGCAAATATTTGCCCAGCTCTAGACGGTGTAATACAATGTTAGTTTGGATCAATAAAATTCAATGCATGAGTCAACAAATATTAATGATAATAGCTCAGAAAAATCACAAGAAATAAAGGGCTGTTGTAAATTGTGTGCATGTTCAATAGACTAGTTTCAATGCAGCTGCAGTATCTCTTAAAAAAATGTTTTATTATACATATTTAATGCACTCATTGACATTTCTTTTTAAAGGTTTATCTGTTAATTTGGATAACTAAGGCGTACAGCCAACCAACCAACCACAGAAATGTAGTTCTTGAAATGTAGAATATGGCAAGAAATCATTTTACAATGCATTTAAAAAATACTGGAAAGTTTCTGCTGGCCTGCACAACCACCGATGTTATTTACAGGAGTGATAAGCCACCCAATGATGGATGGTACAGCACCACGAGGCTTCTCAGAGATGCCATATATGTTATTGGAAAGTTAAGTGGAAGGAGAAAGTCCCATTCAGGCAGAGACAGCAGAAGCCTCTTACCTTAGTCAGATACATGGAGGCTCAGGAAACCTTTGCAAGGGTTTTGGGTTAATTAGCTATGTGGGGTGTGACATCATCAGTTTCTAATATCTTTATAACATTCTGATAGTCTGAGATGATGTATTTTGAGTTTTAATTTTCTGCAAGCCATTATTATTAAAGAAATCCTACCAGAAATAAAGGGTTGAAATACTTCACTCTGCGTTTGATGAATTTATTTTACTTTCTAAAACAAGTAAAAAAAAAATTTAAAAAAAATACTGAATTTTTATGCAAATATTTCAATTGCGAATATTTAATATCTGAATTTTGTTATAAACTGGGTTTGTAAAAACCCATCTTAAAACTTTGGTGATTTCCAGTTAGTCCTGTGTATCGTTTAGGTTTAGTGTTCATTCCAAACTGTTACTACTTCAATAAAGCAACACACTGGATGCACTTTTCCCTAAAATGTTCCTCATAAAGTTTTGAATGTGCTAAAAAATAATGTAAATGATGTCTATACAGTATAAGACAATTCTCTTAACTTTTAAAAAAGTATGTTTTATTTTAATATCCTAAAATATTAGAATAAAATGGCTGTCATTAAAAATTATGTCATAGTTCAATGGGTAGGTAATTTTCAGCAAATATAAGTTGCTTTTGTTACATTACCAGCTCTAAATAAGTTTTATTTATTTTTATTGGACTGGAGAGAAAATGGCTCTTTGGATTGTAAGGGTTTATCATGTGTAAAAATAAAACAGTTGGATGGAGCAGCGTCATCTCATTATTTATGGTTTAATGAGAAAACAGAACTTACTTGTTTACTGGTTCATCTGCAGTTTTCTTCTGGACGTCCTTAACTTTGCTCTTAGGCTGAAAGAAGGATCTAGCAGAGAAAGATGATTACATATTTTAACAATTTGTAAAACTGTTTTAAACAGAAGAATACATCAATTCGACAATCGATTTACCAATAGGTAATACAAAGCTGTAGGTATAACAGACTTCTTTGAAGTTTTAGTAGGGGGCGTTAAACTTAACAACACATTAACAAGTTTTGAACAACTGTAAAGACACTGTTCAATCAGTAAGCTGACTAGACATGGTAGCGCCTTCATTTACAAAACAACAAAGTAATTATCCAAGTAGCAGCCAAGACGACCATAGCATCTAAGGAGGAGCTGCAGAGCTCCACAGCTCAGGTAGGAAAATCTGCTGACAGCACAGCTATTAGTAAAGGACCCCAATCATTTGCTCTTTAAGGAAGAGTTGCAGGAAAAAAAAGTAATGAGTTCATGAGATCAGCAAAAATGTGAAAGATGGTGCTCCGGTGGTCAAATAAGATAAAAACTATATAATGCAGCCTCATGTTTAAAGAAAAACAGACATTTGGTGAAATAAACATAGCAAATCAGTAAAATATGATGTGGGGACTATTTTCTTCTGTAGAGTTAAGGAAGGATCTCTGTTGAGAAACCTAGAGAGCAATCATTTTAGAGGCGCAAAAGATTTGAAACTGAGCTGCTGTTTTTAAAATGACCTTCCACCAGCAAGATTAGCTTAATCATAAAATCAAATCAACAATCAGTAAAGCAGTTTAATGGCATAGACGAAAAATAAATCAAATTAAGAATATGTGGCAACAATCCACAGCTGCTTTAAAGACTCTCCATCCAATCAGTTCAGGCCATGTCTACATCTACTAAATTGATCTATAAATGCCCTAAAATATACATCAGCGATGGGTACCACCTAGATCTCCAAACACACATTTGCACATTAAATGCACGTTATTTTTATTTTTCACATTCTTATAAATTAAGTTGAAAATAAAGAAAGATTTAGTGGGTTTATTCTCGGCCATCCCGGATGTGAAAGTGTTTAAGCTAATTGACGACTTCTCTTTTTTCTCTCCGACATTTACCTTCTGGGTGAGATGAGACAGACCCTCAATAAACAAGCACAGGACAATAGAATGTTCCTGTAACTCAGCAACTATGAGCTACGTTGTTATGGAAACAAAAAAAAAAAAAAAAAACGAGTTGAGGTTTGGCTAGGTTCAAGATACCTGCGTTACCAGCTTGTTTAAGGGTTTATCTCAGAGCTTGGCAACATTAGGTTTCTTTAAAATAATAATTCGTTTCAACCATTGATTTTTTTTAAGTAAATAATCGCCCCTGAGCACTTAGCTGAAGCATATCTCACTTTCTCATACGCTTTAAGAGTTAGCAAACTTCAGTTAGCTAATGTATGCTAGCGCTAGCTTAAAAATATCAGCTAATGGCACAAATACAAGCCTTCCTATCGTGCTTATATCAGTTAAAACTTGCTGTTTTTAGCAACAACAACAAAAAAAAAAACTTTCAAACACATGCCACGTTGTAATTTGCAACTTTAGGAAGACATAAATCTAATCTAGATAAAACCATTAAAATATTACTCACGCGATGCTCCGCTGCATGTTGCCTTTAAACACTTTCTTAACTTAATATAAGATTAAAATTGACCAAATTAAAGGATAGTAGGGCTCCAACAAGAACACACAAAACGCAAACTCCCGCGCCACAGAAAGATATAATAACTGAATATTCGGCGCCAAAATGACACGTAGGTCAAAGATCCTAAAAAGTGGTCGAGGAGTCACACTGACATACAACAAAATTAATAAACCTTTCAGAAGTAAAGTGTGACTTATTTCGATGAAATATAAACAAGAATGATTTAAAGTATAAAAAAGCAAAGCAAACATGCTTGTGATATATACATATATTTTTATTCTGATAAGAGGGAGATAGATGATATATTCTGCAAATATGGAAAACCAACGGAAATAAGGTAAATTAAAACAAAATTCAATGCAATTAAATAATTATTTATATTAATTATTAATATTCCTTGTTTAGGGCTATATATTTGACTACCAATGACAATTGGGAGATGTATGGCTATTTACTTAGCGTTTTACTGCCAAAAATATTGTCAGAGTGAGACATCTTCAATCCAATAGTTGTCCCGGGAAAAATTGGCAGCGCACCATTCTACAGTCGGTGAAACAAGCGTCGCCTTAGGTCGGTGTGGGAGGGGTTTAACACTTTTCTTTACCATTGTTTGGGCGTTTTCTTGTTTGTGATTGCTTTATGTCTTTTCCCTTAAAAGATATATGTTTAGTCCTAAACTAAAACTACCAAATACACCCTCGATTTAGGGCCAAATTGGCAGCTGTGTATCAAAAACAACCCTTTATAGTGAGTAGATCAGTTACTCAGTAGTCTTTTTACAAACTACTTATTTACTCTAGCTTGGGTAATGTCTCTAAAAGCTACTTTTTACTTTTATGTGAGTACAAATATGATGAAGTAGTGCTTCTTTTACTCAAGTACAATTCCTGGGGTACGCTACCCACCTCTGGTTTTTAGTGTACAGTATGTGGTTGAAAATTGTTCCACTCAAAACTTTAATTGTCTGGATATGCAAAGATATATATATATATATATATATATATATATATATATATATATATATATATATATATATATATATATATATATTTGTGCGTCATCACCTCTGGCCGGGCCCTTCACCTGGTTACTGTTAAGGAGTGATCCCATTGAAAGGTTTTTTGCATCTTAAATACTTTACTGCCTCCTGCCTTGTTGGAGTGGTAACTACAAAAAAACGGAAATGGTCCTGATGCTGCATTAGATGCCAGACATTATGTAAGACTCACTTGGATGGAAATTCCTTAGTCCCTGTTTTAATGCATTATTTACCCCCACTTCACTCAAATCATTTTTATGCAGCTCAAAGCAGTGATATGCAAAGAAAGACAAACAGCTAAATAATATATTATGTAAGTGCATTGATTTATTCACCAAAATTCATATGTCGGTAATTGTTTACAAGTTTAGTTCCCCTGCTGCTCCAGAAAGGAAGCAGCATTTAAAAGTTCTTTTAAAAAGGTTCTCAAAGTCCAAATCAATAAATAGTTTTTAAAAAGTCCCACATTTCATTTTACAGCTAACAAACTATGCCACATAGATTTAAAACACTGTCAAAAATAAATTGAAGATATTCTGAGAGAGAAATCTTTCACTTGTTTTCCTTGTCCTTAGTCTATATATTTTCCCACTCGGTCTTTGTCCTCCTGGTTCTCTCCTCCCAACAGGTTCCAGCTTATTTGGGGATTCATGTCCCAGTCTGCAGAGCTTCTATGAGACCAGTTTACATTTAGACCCGACTCCCTGGGCTCTCTCTGGCTGAACCCTGGGCGAGCAGGAGCAGAGACGAGGGGGAAGGGGCCGCAGAGGGCCTGAGGAATGGGCAGCGGTTTAGGGAGGCAGCCCGGGAGCAGGAAGGGGTGAGGCAGAGGCTGAACAGCTGTCGAGAAGACACATCGAGAGTCACATCAATCATGAAGCTCCGCAGAGACCAATGGTGCTCAGAAACATAATTTTAATCTGTCAATGTCACAATAACAAAACTGTTTTCCGAAGCACAGAGCACTGAGCTGCCCTAAAAGTTACCCAGAGAAAAGACACATTGCTCAAAAGCTTTATAACAAGATTCGGATAATACATGACTTTTAAAGATATAAATACAATCAAATGAACAATTACTGAAATCATCAAAAGCATAAGAAATGGTGGTGTTGGTTTATTAGCATTGATGATGTGTAATTCTAGAATAACAGAGGGGAAAAGAGTATTTAGTCAGCCATGATTTTGCAAGTTTTCATACTTAGAAAGATGAGAGAGGTCTGTAATCTTTATCATGTTTACACTTCAACTATGAGAGACAAAATGAGAAAATAAAAATCCAGAAAATCCCATTATTTTAAAAGACTTATTTGTAAATTATGATGAAAAATAAGTATTTGATCACCCACAAACCTCACAGACCTGGAACTTCTTCTTTAAGATGCTCTTCTCTCCTCCTATCATTACCTTTATTAATGGTACCCGTTTAAACTTGTTAGCTGTATAAAAGACACATGTCCGAGTCAATCAAACAGTCAGACTCCCAACAATCCGAAACCAAAAATACATGTTTTTTTGCTGCAAACTCAACTTGCTGTGTTTGAAGGAAGAAAAATATTGATTTGCATCCCAGGAACAACATACCTACTGCGAAGCAAAGGATGAAGAGGGTCATGTATCATAAGATTTTAAGCCATAACCTCGTTCCATTAGTGAGAGCATTGAAGACGGAACATGGCTGGGTCTTCCAGCATCACAATGTTCCGAAAAACACTGCTTGGGCAATAAAGCATTAGCTCTGTAAAAAGACTTTAAGGGTTTGGAGAGACATGGAGTTCAGCCCCATGACAGAATTTGTGGAGCGAGTTGAAAGTCTGTCTTTTCTAGCAAAAGCCCCAAAACATAATTAATTCACAGTAGATATGATGGAGGAATGAACCAAAATACCAGCTACAGTGTGAGAAAACCGGTTGAAAACTGACAGGAAGTATTTGACCTCAGTCATTACCAACATAGGTTATAAAACAAAGAATTATGTTGATCTTTGGTTATTGAACAAATACATATTTTAAACCATAATTTTCAAATAGATTCTTTAAAATCCTACAAGTGATATCCTAGATTTTTTTTCATAGTTCAAGTATAGATATGATGAAAAATAAAGACTTATTTTAAATTTCCTAATAGGAGAACTTGCACAATCAGAAACTGACTGTTTACTTCTTCACCGTCATTGCCAAAAGAGATCCTCAGAGCTAAGATACAATATTATTTTTGTTAAAGTGCAAAGAAAATGTTCACATATGAAACCTATACATACATACGCATTTATACCACTCCGAATATACAGTGCATGATCATCAAAACGGATCTTCAAACTTTCAAAAGTGTCCAATGTAACAAAAAACGCTTTAAGAGGGTTAAACAGCAAACAGAAAAACTTAAACCAGAGACAAACACAATGCAATTATAAAAATTATCATTACATACCACCATCATGTGATTATTTGTAATAAAGAATGTTGAGTGAGAAATTAGAGAAATCTGTCTAATAAACAGAAATGTAAACTGTAGAAACAGCGATTAGATTATGGAGGAAACACTGGAGAATATATGCATACTTTATAAAGTAAAACAACTGGATAAAATGTGCAAAGACAAAAGTTAGGAACAAAACATTAGTTACATAAAATTAAATTTACCAAGCAGAAGTTTAAAGCAGCCTTACACCAAGCTTCACACCATCATAGAATAGAAAAACTGTATTGTCTGTACCAGCTGGTGACAGGAACTATTTTTTAAGGGCTCTATCAACCAGCTTTAAAAAAACAAATAGAAAAAATAAATAAGTGAGATTGTTAAGCATAGAAATAGAATATAAAATAATGAAAAAAGCTGTTTGAAGTGAATATTGCACACTTAATGAAGGATTCCTTGTAAATGAGAACCTTAAACCTTCTGCCTGATGGGAGCAGCAGGATGAGTGGTGGATGGATCCTCTGTGATCAGGTTGACCTTTCTGATAGCAGAACTTTTAATAAAGAAACCCATGCATTACGACATTGCAGCATCAGTCGCTCAAGCAGGGTAGCTGATCATTGTTAGAAAACCAGCCAATTTCACTATAAAGCCTGATGTGTGGCTTAGATACAGCTCTCACAGGGACATTTAACCAGATATCAGTAGTGGTGCAGGCATATATGTGACCCTGTATTCCTTCTGACCAAGTTTTGATGTAAGAAAATCAACAGTTAAAATAAACCTGTCCAACAATGTATTGTTTTTTGTGTTTTAATAATTGCAGATGTTTAGTTTATAACCAGTGGTGTCAAAATTAAACACATTTGTTACTTAAGTAGAAGTATAGATACTGCAGTTTAAAAACATTCTGATAAAAGTTGAAGTATCAACTTGACCTCTTTACTCAAGTAAAAGTGAAAAAGTATGTGCTCTAAAAACTACTTAAAGTATAAAGAAACCGTTAGAAAAAACAGCCAGATGCCACGATATAAATTGAAAGCTCAATTTTTCGACTATTTCGAAAAATTCTTTGAGATAGGGCCAAGGATGAGGGAGGTCTTGTTGGTCTCCATCTCCATCGCCTGTGACCGACCTTTCAGACATTTCAAAAATTTTTTCTGAATCCGACATTGTAGCATGGCATAGACAATTCACATTTGCAGTTTGAAGAACACCTGCTTGCTTCTGATGATTTCCTTTAGCTAACCAATGAATGTTTGTGTTATATGACTCATCCTATTACATTAGCCAATGATCTGCATTGGATGGAGCACATGACGTGAAATAAATATTTAGAAACGTAAAACTGAAGCCAAGAATAATAAGTAACGTTTGTTTTAAAAAGGTAAGGAATAGAAAGTGCAGATACTTTTGAAAATACAATGAATAGAAGTCAGAAGTAGGAAGAAAAATAAGTAATGGAGTAAAGTATAGATACCTAAAAAGTGTACTTAAGTACAGTAACGAAGTATATGTACTTATTTACTTGACACCTCTGTTTATAATCAAAACATCCTGAAGTATTATTGGTTCATGATTAATGGAGAAATAATTCAGTCCAAACAGACATTTCTTCTTGCCTCTATATTTCTCACATCTCATTCAAAATAGTTCGACTATCCTGAACTTTTTTTCTACAGTTATGCTGTTATATGATTATGCTGCTGGAGGACATGCTGGCCACTTCTGCTTCATTTTTTCTATATTCTCCCATTCTGCAGTATTTGTTAAGTTCCAACTATAACTTTATGTTTTATCTACTTTTTTTCTTTTTCTTTTTCTTGTAGTACCTTAATTTGGTCTGTTCCTTTCTGAATTTGACTACATCCTTGATTGAAATATTAGCTGTGCTGCTATCATCATCGACTCTTTTTACAGATGTTGGAGTTTGGCCTGTTTTACTGTGTAGTCACGCTTCTTTTACTGTGATTAACTGTACGCTCTCTTTTGTTCTTTGACATAAGAACTGGCTTGGAGCTCGTCTGCCTGACTATGTCTTTCCTGGACGAGGCCAAGTGTGGAGCTAGTTAACAGTTACCTTTTGTGTCTCTGCTTCTTCTTGTAAAGTATGTCTGCTCCCATCTCTTTGCACCCCAGTGGGAAATAAGCCGCTCATACTGAGTCTGGTTCTGCTTGAGGTTTTTTTTCTGTTTAAAGGGATTTTTTACTCTCCACTATCACTGCATGCATGCTTGGTGTGAGGGATTACTGAAGAGACAACAAAATGCAACCAAAAATCATCCCCGCAAGTTCATGGAGGAGCAGCATGTCTTGCAAGTCAATGACTCGATGAGATCAGCTGATTTTCCTTAATAGAAATGTTTAACCAGTCTGACTGTATTGTTACTGTAAAGTGCCTTGAGAAGACATGTGTTGTGAATTGCAGCTATATAAATAAACTGAAATCCTAATTGAACTGAATGGTAGGTAGTGTAACAACAATATTAGTCAGACTTTTGATGCACAGATATACAAATCTGAGCCAATATTGATAGGCAATATCAATATTGCCAATATCGCCACACTCCCTACCCTTTGGACACCATGATAACCCCAAAGTGATAGCATTGGTTCTCTGTTTCAGGTAAATACTGACAATCCGCTCTGCATTAATATCAATGTCAAAAGACCACATAACTAATGTCCTCTCCCTATTAAAACAAAAACAAATAAACATGGAAATGAAAATGTGTTATTTATATAGGCCCAGTTTTAATTACTGGACTGAAAGCAATATGTTTAAAGAGCAGATATCACTGTTAACATCAGTAAAGCATGCCTCTATACTTATATTACCTCTGTCCATCAATGATCCCGCTCCTCCACAGAGGGGAAGGCCACTTTCAGCATGGAGGAAAGAGAAAGGTAGAGGGCCCCTGTGGACCAGCTGCTGGGTGGATGAATGGAGGAGGAGATGGAACAGAAACAGACACATTTAACACGATGCGGACCGACGACATTCATCCAAACACGTGAACCTCATCTATAGGACATTTGGATCATTTTGATGTTTTAGACAGAAAATGTAAGTCTGGGACAAAGAATGACATGAAAACAAATCGAATAGTTTGTAAAAAGATAAAGATGAACTTGGAATTCCTTAAATATGTGTTGCTAGCATCATAGATTGATGCTAAAACATACTGGAATTTAACTGTCCAATATAAAAATCATTCAAAAATGTTGAGAACATTTTGCAAAATGAAAGAGACACACAGAAGCCCATTTCAGACTGGCTTAATTAAAGCAGAGAACTGTGTTTAGATTTGACTCATTAATTACTTCCTTTGAACGATTTAGACACACTTTCTTGCAGACAAAAGGAGAGGAAGAACTCACTAAACTTGTTATCGGAGCTCAGCTCCAAGAGCAGCATCTGTGGTCATATGGAGAGGCATTAGAGCACATGGCTCTTGGAACGTGCACATCTGTTCTGTCACGGTTAATGCAGTATGACATATAGAGGTTTAGGAACAACATATGCTGCCAACGATGTAAGGACTTTTTAGCTTGGTTATGCCAAGATAATTCCAAGCTAGGCTGTGTTTGTGTCTGCATCCATGGGGTCCAAGCAGAGCTCGAAGGCCAGAGCTCTTCCTCACTGACAACATTCAATCCATAAGGAGGGAATATATGTTTAGAAAGGATGAATTAATGACGAAAGCATCCAAAATGCTTTTGTCATTACATCAATAAAACATTAAGGATTAGATTCATTTTTCTGACTGTAAAGGAAATATTTTAACCTGCTTGTGCAGGATTTTTTTATTTTACAAGAAAAACAAAACAAAACATGCCTTCTTAAAGCTTACTACTGTAAAACTGATTGAAATGATTAACCTGTCTACAGCCTTACTCCATTAAACAATTTCAATTAGTTTTAAGGAATTTATATGATAAAACTGAGGTAAAAATTGTACTTGTAGAAGCATTTAAGGTTATTACCGCTCTGCCTGCTCTATAGTCACTGGTGATGATGCTAAAGATAATTGAAAAGCCTTAGAATTAATTAATCTAATCTATCATTAAAATAATCTTAGTCAAAACAAGAAGAAAAATAATTTCTTTCTTCTAAAAAAAAATCTATTTTTATCTGAAATCATGCCCATGGATAATTTTGATTCCCCTGCTGCAAACTCTCAACCTTAACCTCTAATCAATGTGTCCATTATCGATTCACAGACACATCAAATATCACCAACACTGGGAGGAACAGACTTTCCCACTTATTCATCAGTTGTTTTTGATGATTGATTGATTTTACTGAGCTCACAGTGGGGAAATTTACTCGTTTTGATGAGTTTCACTCAAAAAGTTTATCATGAAACATGTTGCCAGTAGAGTTGAGCGTATGTTTGCTCTATAGAGGTAGAAGTACATGTTTTCAGTCTCTAACGGTTATTTGGAGACTGTTTTTTAAAAATCTTTATATTTTTAGAAAACAAGAGCCATGGGGCGTGCAGGTGCCGCAGTGGTTAGTGTGCACGGCAGATGTACGGAGGCCTTAGTCCTCAACGTGGCCGACCCGGGTTAGAATCTGTGGTCCATTGCTGCATGTCTCTACCCCTCTCTCAAACCCCCTTTCCTGGCAGCCTACTGTCAGAAAAATGAGCCACAAGTGGCGTAAAAAGAAAAAAACAAGAGCCAAATGCCAGGTTTCTGCGTTATATAGCACAGGATTTTTATTTCCTGGATGGCTGAGAATTAAAGCCAGAGCGTCTCCACTATTTGAATGGGATGTTCTTCTATTTTCTATTTAGAATCTCACAAAGTACAATGTTTAACATCTTCTTTGTACCCCAGAAAACCAAGAAACCATATATAACTAATACAAACAGCTTAATCAATCAGATTATCTTAAAAAGTTTGTTATAAATAACAGAAATCTTCTGTTGCTTTCATTTTAAATGAATTATTATGCCCTTGACTAATGTTGCTACCTGGCTTTCAAGCTTTTTGCACATTTTTTTCAGAGTTGTAAATATCTGCTGCAGATTCTCCCCAAAGGAATTCCTTTAAAAGTCTTCTTCAAAGTACTGTTTTTATTTATTTTATTTTATTTTTTAAAAATTTGCTGCAGTATGTATTGTATAACGGCAGTAAAAAGCTACTTAAATCCCTCTAAATGGAGGTAAAAGGTTGATAACGACCTGGTGGCTGGATGGCGGCAGGTATCCAGGATAGTTGACGAGGATGAGTTTGCTGAAGTTGAACTTGTAGGTGAATCTTTTCCCTTTGGTCTTGTGCAGGATGCGTTTGTTGTAGTAGTATCTGCAAGCAAAATGTTGTTTTCTTTTCTATGTCAGATTGAAATGCTGATGAATGCACTCTTATTTCTCCAGGCCACTTTTAGTTGCTTGTTTTCACACAGACACCATCTGTTGCATCTGTGGGCATTTTAGATGTAACATTTTAATACAAACAACCTGTACTGCCAAGAGAAATTTCAATACTTCTTTTTTTCTGTTTGCTTTTCTGTTTTTTAGTTTTTAATTGAAAGCAGCAGCTTGAGGCAGAATCAGCTCAGAGCTGAATGGAGCATCTTCAAAGTCAGAGAGGTAATTTATTCTGATGAACTTTACCTGAGCGCCCGGCTCAGCTTGTCGTAGTTCATGTGCGGTTTGCCCTTCCTCTCCCCCCACAGCCTGGCCAGCCTTTCGGGGTCCCTGATGACGAACTCACCCCACTCCCCTCCCCAGCCAATGGCGCCCCCCTCGCCGCGCCCCAGCAGCTCCAACAGGAAGTGCCACAGCTGGACCTGTCTGGAACCAGGAGACCAGGCTGGTTTGTATGCCCAGTCAGGAAACAGCACTGCTGGAGGAAGGAAATAAAATGTCAAAAATTCACCATCATTCCGATAAGTCAGTTCTTTATAAAATGCATCCAGTGAGCCAGCTTTGCTATCTTTAAAGTGTCCTTGAATTATACTTCCTCAGGTGTTGCTTGGGGTCCTTCAGAGTTTTTTTTTTTTTTTGGACTTTAACCACTTTTTAAATAGATTTTCTTTGTTTATCACTTTACTCTAATAATAAAATGGCTCTCTGCAACGTGCACGGTTGTGCTCGGTTACAATGTCTGGCCTAAGGAGAAGTAGAAATAAAAGATCCAAAGAACAACTTTCAGGCCAGAATAAAAAAGAAACCGTGGATGTTTTTCTGAAACAAAGAAAATAGATCACAGGTCAGGACTCCATGAAGTATTTTCAGGCATGTAACAGTTTTTTTTTTAAATAACATCTCTGCCATCTCATTGCTACATTTAAAGATAGATGTACAAAAGAAAATGTAGCGGTGGTGACCAGAATCAGACAATAATCAGGCATAATACTCAAAAATCTGAACTTTTTCCTCATCAGTGAAGGCACCATTTGTAAGATCTTGAAGAGCAAGAGAGCAATACTTTCTATGGATAACAGGAAGGCTGAATTGAATACAGAAAAGTTTTTCTGTTTCATACATTAAAGTAACTTACAATGGACATGTGGGCTCCTTATTATTTTTAATCTGTTAACATCCTTGAGCGTGCACAGGGGTCAACATTAGGAGAGTACAGAGAGCAACACTGTGGCCCCCAGGCCCCAGATCAAACATGGTACAAATTTGACTCCACAGCAATTAGGATTATACTACTCTATTCTTTTTTCAGTTTCAGATTTTCGATGACAAGTGTTTATCTTTTTCAAATGCAAACTCTTCAGAACAACTCAGACTTCAGAACAACTCAGGTTATTAATTATTGTAAGGAAAAGTACAGATTACAGATTAGGTGTCCCAGTATAGAGCACTCTGCTCTGCCCAACAAACGAAGAAAAAAATCTGTTTTACAATCTGAATAATAAAATGTCTTTCAAGTGTCACCTTCCAACATCTGACTCTCAAAGACCAATCAGGCCTGATCATAGAAAGGACTTCAGTTAGGTTACAGTGTATCTTTAATTTATGCATATTCATAATAGGCCATAACTTTTCCTTCACATTTAAACCTTAAAATAGCTCCCTGTGGTTACTTTTAACTTGGCAAATTTTAACACCACTGGTCTATATTCCTGAGGGAAAACACATCTAGAATAACATTTTAATAATGTCAACTATGTGAAACTACTAAAATACGCTACTAAAGAAAGTTTGCTGTGATCACCTGCACTTTAAAAGCCATCTGTCACTCTAACCCCACACTTCACCACTGCCCCACCTTCACAGGCTTCTCTTCCAAGTCATTCTTGTTAGGGGCTCTAAGGTTTTGTTGTCTTTTCTGGTGTGAGTGAGCTTCCTGTCACAGAGAGGATCCTTGCTGGTGACTGGGCTGTCCTGTGTTGCACCACACCTAAGAACATTTCTTAGTCAAGATGACGAGCGTGTATATAAGGAGAGGAAGGATAATAAATCTTCCCCAGTAGATTATGCCTGATGGTATTGCAGCCAAAAGACCTAAACCAGGAGTATCTTTTTTATTAAATTTTTTCTTCTTGTGAATCTTTTTTAATGTGGACTCTGTTATTTTCCCATACAACCAGTGAACCTCAGTTAGCTCAGATCTTCATGGAAAAGGTCTTACCCCTCTGCACTAGTCCTCAGTCTTCATCATCTGCCTGCCTGCTCTCCAGCATGACGTCTCCTGCAACTACCAACGCTCTCAGCTCTCACTCACATTCTCCTGGACCTTTGGGGTACACTCTGTAAAGCCCGCTGAATCAAACCTCTAAAGATCCATGCTACCTCCCTTTCATCTCTAACGTAAGCAAATCAATCAATCATCAGATGTCATCTAGCAACTCCGTCCTGATCAGTCTGCTTTCTCCTCTCACACCAACCATAAGTCCAACTGACTTCCTGCAGTTCTCTGCTTCCAGATTCTTGTTGCTTTTGTAAATAAAGAGCTCAAATTCACTGATTCTCTGTGTGCGATTCTGCATGCGGGTAAAAAAACTAAAAACCAACATGATAATTTCACACCACAGTTCACATCATAGTATAGAATGAAGGTCTTCAACAGGGGCTCCGTGACCCTTAGGGGTCCATGGAGGTACTGCATGGGGGTGGCGAAACTTTTGGTTGATCAGACTTTTTTTTATATTCCCCCTGCTATTTTTTTTCCACTAATTGAAATGTCTTTAAATCCACAGTAACATGAATTTAACACATTGTAGTAAACAGATAAATGGAGGCAGAAGATGTCTTTCAGTCATCAATGCACACATTCAGAGACACACAGGAGCTCTTTCAAGCTGGACACCGTTTCATTCACAACACCTGTCCCATCAACCAGGAATCAGAATCAGAAATACTTTAATAATCCCAGGGAGAAATTACTTTGGTTACATAACTCCATCTATAATAGAGTGACTATAGGATCAGCTTGATAGAACACAATTTCATACAATATCTATAATTAGGGTGTCCGCGCTCCATCTCTCCATCAGTTTGGGGGTCCTTGGCCTGGAAAACGTTGAATAACCCTGGTATAGAGACATGCTGTCATGGTTTTGGTTATGTTGTGCTTTACTTTGCTCCTTGTTTTCTAGTTTTATTGGTTTAATTCCTATTTTGTTGTAATTTCTAGATTTATGTTAGTTCTCAGGTTGTCCTCTGTTGCCCTCTTGTGTGTGTGTGTGTGTTTTCCTTTCTCCTTGGCTCCCTCGTTCTCTCCTCTCACACCTGCTCCTTGTCAGCTCGTTAGCCCTCCCTTTGTCTCTGTCTGCTATTTATGCTCTCCCTCTGCTCTCACTCTTTGTTGGTTCCTCTGTTGTTGATGGTCCTGTCATCGCTGTCGTCGTCTCACCTCGTCTCTCCCTGGCTCCTTGTACGTGTTTTCCCTTGATGTCTGCGTGGTTCTGGGCTGTTACATTTTTAGTTGGATTTTTGGACTGCCTTTGTTAACCATTTTCATCATTAAAATTACAAATATTCACCTCAGCCTCTCTGCCTCTGCATTTGGGTCCTCCAAACCACAACAAAAACGTGACACATGCAATGTATTCTGACCTTCTGATGTCAGAATAAGATTTATTGCCAAGTAGGTTTGCACTTACAAGGAATGTGATTTGGTGTAAATCTATAGCTATAAACAATATATAGTATATAACTATATACTATATACACAGTAGGCTGTGAGTTATGGTAATGCAGGAGGTCTGGAGATGCTAAGTTGGTGTAGCTTTTAGGTCCTGAACGGGGGAGGGAGAGAGGCAGTGTCAGTGTCATGGGGGTCTCTGGTCCTTTGATAAGGCTGGTAGCGGATGGGAGGAAACTGTTCTTCTGGCGTGAGGTTATGGTCCTGATGGACGGCAGCCTCCTGCAAGAGGGAAGTGACTGAAATAGTTTTTTCGGCTGGGGTGCGATGGATCAGTCACAATCTTCCTTGCACGCCTCAGAGTCCTGGAGGCGTACACATCCTGGAGAGATGGAGGGTTGCAGCCAATCACCTTCTCTGCAGACCGGATGACACGCTGCAGTCTGCCCTTGCCCTTGGCGGTGGCACCAGATGATGATCGAGGAGGTGAGGATGATCTCAATGATGGAGGAGTAGAAGTGCACCATCACTGTCCTTGGCAGGTTGAATTTTTTTCCAGCTGCCACTGGAAGTACATCCTCTGCTGGGCTTTCTTGGTGAAGATTCACTTTAGGTCCGGTGAGATTAGAGTTCCCAGGAAGCTGAAAGACTTCCCAGTGTTAATTGTGGAGTCATAGAGGGTGGTGGGGATAGCTGGGGATGAGTTCTTCCTGAAGTCCACAACCACCTCCACTGTTTTTAGAGCATTGAGCTCTGCACAGCAAATCAAAGGAAATTATTTTCATTTAAATTGGTTTCACCATAAACTAAGGTATTTCCTTACTGTTAGCGTGATCCCGACTAACTGCAGAATTAAACTATTAACAGAAGGGTTGATAATAGTCTTTGGCACTTTAGTTATCTATTATTTTCACTGGTTTGATGAAAAATAGAGATATTATCTAAATATAAAGCAGTTTCATCCCAACTCTGTGTAAACTGATCTGGCATAAACCAGTTTAGACCAGATAGGATCAAAAAGCATTTTTTTCTCTTTAAAAGTGCTACAGTATCTGATTCTTATTAAAAAGCTGAGTTATTGGCCTCGAGCTTCATTCATCATCGTCCCAAATCCCTAAATCTGGGTTCAATGCAATTTTCCTCACTGATGGCTTTTCTAGTTATGGATAATGGGATTTTGGTTAAGTTTTTCTGTACAATAAACAAATAACACTTCTTTGCATTTAGAAAGCTTTGCTCAGTTTTGAGTTTAAATTACACAGCATTCATTGGAGAAAAAAAGAAAGATATTCAAACTTGTGAGCTCTTCTTTTTTTAAGGTTGACCTCCTTAAAGGTGTTTCAGTTTTGGAGCTTAACTCCTCATTAAAATCTATGTGACAAATACCTGCTGTACATGCTGCTCTGGTTCAGGTTGATTAAATAAATTAGGCGTTTTTACCTGCAAATTATAACCTTCTGTCTCATTAAAAAATTAGTTGAAAGTTACAGTACTTTCTAAGCTCCTTACTGCGAACAAGCTTTAAAGTAATTGCATTAAGAATTAGGATCAGAGGTAGTCATTTAATAGTAAGTAGTTTAATTGCTTTTGCCGGCATTTCATGTAATATACCTCGGTAAAGTGAGTGCTGTGAAAAACCGCAGCTCAAGAACAGCTTCACCCAACCACAGGCCTAATTGGACAACTTTTATGAGTTTCTGAGCAAAACATCTTTTTAAATATTGTTATTGTTTTACTGTTATAACCTCATCAGGTTATAACATGTTACAGAATTTGTTAGAAAAATAAAATGAATGTTCAGTTTAATACTGTATAATATTAAGTTGGACATTTTAATTAAAAATGATTTCATATTCATTTTAATTCTCTACCATAAAGTTTTTTATTTTATTTCATTATTTGTTTCCTTAAAGAGATGAGTGGGCTCTAATTACAAATGATTTCAACAAAGCAATCTTCAGAGCCCAGAAACATTAGCTCTGATGTTATTTTCTTTTTAAAGTTAATGTTCATATTTTATTTTCCCATCATTAATTCTTTTTGAAAAGTCTCTGGATATTATTTAGTTTTCAATCTCTGTCTGTTCTGCTCACTACTCAACATTTTCGGGCAATCATAGGAAAACTGGTGCAATCTGGTGCAACTGTTTTAACTTGCACTCCTGTCATGATTCTGTTTTTTTTGGGCCATGATACTTCTTCCTCTTTAATTGTCAGATAAGACTTTGATAACTGTTTTAATACTTAGTTTAGATCTTTAATGTCAATACAGCTCTGCTCAGAAGTTTACGTAAACTGACTTCGAATCATAGTGATTTGAGACTTTAAACGATTTTTCTGAATTGCTCTCATGCCAATGGGGGAATAATTATACAACATGCAACTTAAAATAAACATTTCTAGAGAAAATCTGAACTACAATAAAGATTTGTTCACAAATGTATCAATGCAGGATCTTATATGTGTTTAAATAAATGGGTTGCACTTTGAGAACATCCATTTTTGGACAAATCAACACCCTTTAGGGGTCATCCATAAGACCTGGGTATTTGAACAACCTTCACGGAAGAGTTTTTGAAGCACATTATGAGTTTAGTACCAAAACTAAGCAGCACTAATTTGGGGCTAAACATGTAGAGGTTTTGATGCATGTTTGGGATTCCTGTGGTGACGGAACACCCAAAAGTATCAAGAATCGAATCCCATTTACTACTTGAAACAAATGTTCTCTCAATGTTCATCAACAACTGAGGAACCATCCATCTGTAAAGGCATGTCCACAGGAAAACTAGTTTACCAGCCAAAGAAATAAAGCTCTGCTCCAAAATCAACGTCTGTGTTTGTTAGGAGGATCCAAAGGAATGGTTAAAGCTCAAAGAGCACTTTACTAACCATAAAGCATGGTAGTGGCAGAATAATGCTGTTGGGCTTTTTGTTTTTTATCATCCCATTACGCACTACTCAATTCTGTCACAGTTGGGTTGAAGTTTTGAGGGCCCAAATGCAGAGATTAGTAGGCAGAGATGAGTTTAGCTGATTTCATGAAGTACTCACAGGCAACTGAGGCAGAAACCCAAAAATCCAAAATAATGAATACAGAAAAAAACAGAACCTTGGAGACATCAGGGAAAACATACATCAGGAG